ATCTATCTATCTATCTATCTATCTATCTATCTATCTATCTATCTATCTATCTATCTATAACAAACTATGCTCAGGAGACAGAAGTGTCACTTGAAGACAATGTGAGGGCTCACTTTTGATGAGGCCATTTTTGTATTTTTTATGGTCAGCTTGCAATTGGTTGACTCCAAAAGTTAATCAGTTCTAGATGTTCATCTGGGATTATTTTTTTGAGAGTTTCAATAAAATCTGTCCAGTGGCTCGTGTAATTTTTGAAAACGCTGAAGACAAACAAACACTTTGGTTATGGTTGTGTGAGGTTGTAAAAAGCGAAAACAGAACTTTGTTAACAATTAAAAAAAATAAAACAAGTTGGCGTGACAGCACATTACTTACAGACAAAAAAAACACCTGGGGTTTGAGGAGGAGAGCACAGATGTGGTGGGAGAAAACCCAGAATGCTCCACTGAAGAAGACATTTGTGGACAGGACTTGATGAACACAAGTGACTGCAGCTGTGACCGGGAAGCAGTGAACAGGTGTAGGTGGGCTTGGCAGACTGGAAACATACTGAAGGAGGCGCAGCTGGTGGCACAAAAGAACACAGCATTGGCAATAAACACTAAGCAAATGCAGAAACTAAATGCCACCACCAAATGTAAGCTGGCGATAGAAGTGTAGTCCAAAAATTCTACGGTCTGAGGAGGGTGTGGTACACAGAGGGAAGAACACCTTCAAACACGTGTGTTGGTTTTAACGTGAGGCGTGATGCTTCACTGCCATGGAAACCAAACTCTGTGATTTGCTCTCTGCTGTGTGAGAAGACTCATCTGGAGAAGATTTCATGTCTCTGACTGAATAGGCCGTCATCTAATATTTCACACATACTTTCTTCTTCCCAGGCTGCTCACAGCAATCTGGCTTTGCTTATAGAGCGACGAGCAACGGGAGATCCCTGCAGCAGCCCACTGAAGAGGTGTTGCCTGCAGCACTGAACACAAATACATGACTGATTACTGTGTGGTATGTAGGTTACACAAGCTGATAAGCCTGTCAAAAAAATAAAGAGGCTTTTTATGTTCCAAAATGATTTTTTGAAGATCAACAACATTTGTTGAATGTTATCGGTTTTGAACCACATTCACATGGCTGATATTTAACCTTTTTTTTACCTTTTTTAATCGGCATTTTATTTTATTTTATTTTTGTTTGTGTTTGTCGAAACACTTTGTGATCCCTATCTTGAAATGTGGTATATAAATGAAGTTTTACTTACTTACTTTTCTGTAAGTGTACATTTAGTGATGCTCACCTATAAAACTCTATAGAGTAAAAATTGATACACACTTAAAAGCAAAGGGTTTTTACATAGAGGAATATTTTAGAAAGGGATTTGCTCTTCTCTCTTTTGTCTCAAACAGTGACTCTAAAGTTAACGGTGCAGATGTCAATGTTCAAACCAGAGATTCTAAGAAATATGTGAGAGCACCACTTTTAAGGTGAACAGTAAGAAATCACATTAGGAAGAGTCCAGAGTCAGAGTTCTCGCAACATGTTGATGTGAGTCTGACTTCCTCGTGAGTCTGAAGAGTCTCTTTCTCATAAAAGGAGTTTGTTGTGCAATGCACCTAACTTTGACAGAGAGTTAACTGTAAATAACTGTACTTATCAAATAGGATTAACCTTAGTTATGAGGTGTAACAGGTGAACAGATGACAATCTGTCACTTGCATCAAATTACATTAAACTAATCTGGATCAGTAATCTTTGGACAGCTAGGCCAAACCAGGTCCCCAGACATGAGACCAATAATGATAACAGATGGTTTGACTCAGAATCAGTCATATTATCATATTTACAATCATTGAAGTTCCCAACACAGTGTAGAGCTTTTAAGTTTCCACTTATTCAGTTAAGATGTTCCTGTTTTGGCTGGCTCTCATAACTCAGTGTGCATTATATACAGACAAGGATCAGCCTAAAGTCACACAGAAATGTGTCAGAACAAAAACTCAGATTTCTTGTACAAAGAGCCTTAGTAGATTTGTCATCTATTTAAACACTGATTGTGCGCAATCATTAAAAGTTTGTCACTAACTATTGCCATTGACTGTGTCTCGTGTAGCACTGAATAGATTTTAATGAAACTCTCAGAAAGTAATCATCAGATGTACCTCTACTATTGATTATCTTTAAGTCAACAATTTTACAGATGTTGAATGTCTGAGTATTACCCCAAACACATTTCCAGCTCCATATTGCATCAGATCGTACTCATCATTTACAAGGTTTGACCAAAACTGCTATAACCTTGTGCATTCACCAATGAATGTTTGGCTTTTGATTTTATTTTATTTTTTTCTGGTTTGAGCAAATTATAATTTTAACCAACTTGTCTGTCTTTTATAAAGCTCTTAAAATAATAATAATAATAATAATAATAATAATAATAATAAAGAAATAAGAAAAAAATGAAAAAGTTTATTCAAACTTTCTGTATTCTTCATGTCTCAGTATAGTATTTCATGACCTTTGATCATCGTAGAGTCAGAATAAAATGAGGCCGTTAACACTGTCGTAATCTGTATACAGAGATGAAGTGGGAGTGGCCATTCGGTGCCCAAGGAGCACGTTCATATCAAGTTTCTGTTGTGCTTTAGCTGGATGCATCTGTGGTCTGAGAGGATATGAACTCTCACAGGAAACACTGGATGGTGACTCTGCAACAAATCTTTTATCCCGTCCTAGCAGCTGTGGGGATCCCATGTGAGTAATGTACATGTAGCAGTCAGAGTTGGTGGGGTTATTTCACATGTAATCAGTTTGACATTTAGGAACAGGAAGCATGTTTAGAGTCTGACCTCTGTTTTACCTTCAGCCAACACCATCACCTTTCTGATCCTCTGGAGGAGAAACTGCATGCTCTCCACGTCCAGTGTCTTCTATTTAATGGCGATTTCTGTGGCTGACAACCTTGTCCTGATCTCCATCGTGGTTCTTGAACTGTCTTTGAAGTACCACCAGCTGGAGCCGTATTGGAGTTACGAGCCGTGGTGCAACCTACGAGACGTTTTTAGTTATGGAGCCTACAATGCCTCGACGTGGCTGGTGGTCCTGTTCACGGTGGAGCGTTTTATCAGCATACACACATGGAGAATCAAAGCTAAGCTCTGCACGCCGAGATGCGCCATTTGGACGATAACAATCACTTTTGTCTTTTGTCATCTCTCGGCCGTTCCTTACTACTGGTCTAACGCCTCGATCCAAGAGGCTAATCTGACCTCGTGTGTTTACAACACAGAGGCCCCGACCCAGTTTATCCACACCCTGGTTTGGTTTCAAACCTTCCACACCTATGTCCTCCCCTTTCTCATTATTCTCACTCTAAATGGGCTGACCCTGCGTCTCATTTCCCTTAGCAACAGGGTTCACGTCGCCCCTAATGTGACGTCTAGGATTCACAAAGTCAGGCCTCTTCTTCGCTCCAGGAGGAGAAAATCCGTGGTTCTTTTGGTGACCGTTTCCATGAGTTTTGTGCTGCTGTCCATCAGCCGCACTATAACCCAGATCATCCTCCGCACCACGGACATGTACACTTCAGATCGTGATGACTATGACCTCAAGATAAACATAGCAGCTGATATTGGCACCATGCTGAGCCTGAGCAACGCTGCCATCAACATGTACCTGTACGTGTGCACCCAGTCCAAGTTTCGCCTGGAGGTCTTAGCTTGTGTGAGACGGGTGACTTTTTACTGTAAGAAAACCTACAGAGTGTAACTTTGTCTTATGTGTGTCTTTGCTAAATATAACCAATAAAACTCTTTAAAATTTGAACAGGTGCATTTTACAAGCATCAAGGTGTTCATAACAGAAGTATGACTGACAGGCAACCTTCAGTTAGGCCAACAGTCCAAAAATAACTGTCTATTGTCTTTATTATGGTGTTTCATTCATTCTGTCCCTTTAAGGAAGAGATATGTTTTCTCCTCTTAATCATCCTGACACACGTCTTCAGTGTTTGATGTTGGATCCTAAAATTATGATTTAATTTCCTGACTGTGAGCAAACAAACAAGAAGGGCTTCGCCTGACAACCATTATCTTTTTCAGACGAAGTCCAAACGAGTCAAATGGGCATAAAATTGACATTAAGGGTTGATTTCAAATAATTTAGATATCATACATTGACTGAAAAGAACACAAAAAGGAAACCTACCACAACATACGCAGGACTCTTTGGTCACACGTTGACAATAATTGTTGATTAGACACTATGAGGAAATAAAACAGAAAAAGAATATTTTGAAGTGAAGCAGAGGCTTTAGCCCTGCTAATTATTTTTAACATTTGAATTTAACTGCTGTCAAAAATGAATCGGTTGCAGTTGTACAGCCGAACACACAGGATTGCTCACCATCACCCTTTTACAAATTCATATAAATCATCAATAAAATGTATTATGCAGACTAGACTGAGAAATGGGCTCAGATATTTCTCCCTTTTCCTGTGCAAACAGATGGTTAAGTCTTAAAACACTTTTTAGAAGGAAATCGTGTGAAGGAGGAGACATCCTTGTCAGAAACACAAACCTTATGAAAGAACAAATGATCCACTTGCACTTTTGAAAGCTCTTCTTTCACACACTGACCTCCTGCTTCATGCTAAAAAATATCCATCTGTGTGGAGAAAAACAAATCAGGATAACAAATAAGAAACAAAGTGGAAACTATTTCAATTCTAGTAACCCAACCAAACTGAGTAATTTTAGGGTTATTGGGTGATCGTAATTTACTTACATTCAGAAAGCTGCATTTCGATGGATCAGCTGGAAGATTTTCAAAAACGGCGAGTAGATTTAGTCCATTTTGTTTAAATTTCAAACAGCAGAAAGGATTACAGGACAGGTGACTGAATACAGCTCAATAGAGAATTCAATAGAGCTAATCAAACCTATTGTTAAGCGATGGCCCTCTTTTGCATATGACTAACCTGTTTGTCCACCATGGGGAGGCAGTGCTCTTAAGGCTGAGTTCACCTGAAACTTATCAGACTGAAGAAGTCTCTTTGACGAGAGACAAAATGTTTCACTAAAGAACCCATCCAGAGGACCTACCGGTACTTATTTTTTCTTTTTGATTTTTCTACCTGGATTACTGAGATGCATCAGGACACAGGTGACTGAAGTTCTCTCTGGATGACTAACCCATCACAACTGTTTGCCTGGCTCACAAGAGATATGTTTTGGTTATGAAGCTGGGAATCGGGCTTAATGCTGCATTATAGGTTTTTGAAAATTGAAATCTGACTCCTCCCCTGTTTAATATTTGAAATTATTTGTGTTACTTGTATAATTATTTGTGAAATTCAATAAAATTAGTTAATAAAAGGAGAAGAATAGTTTGAAATCTTATACACAGTGTCGGGAGAAGCAGAACTTCCAGCACGACACGGAACTTGAAAAAATAAATCAATGTACAGGTGAGGAGGAATAACTAGTTGCATTTAATATGTAAAACATGCTCATTTTACCTAAACGAACAAACTAATTAGTCTCAGTACTTTATAGGTCTCATTAAAATACAACATTTCTTCTTTCAAAGTTTTGGTCAAAATGGCGGCTTAGCTGCAGATTTAAAAGATTTAAACTTTATTTAATACGCTGTGTTTAAATGTGAGTTTTGACAAGTTGTTGCAGCTGAGGGGTTGTATTTATATAGATTTTATTACTATTCCAAATTTAATTTCTTGCTACTTTGTGTTACATTTACTGATCTGGCTTCAACTTAACTAAATCTATGATTTAATAAGATAAATAAATTGTACAACATTTATATTACAAGACTGAACCAACTTTATTAAATGCATGATTTGAACAGTTTGTTGTGTTTCTGAACAATAAAGCAACTGAGGACATTTAAAAGCTGGTACAGAAGACTGAAATGCTACTTCTTCTTGCCACTTTTGGGAGCTTTCTCGAGTCCTTGGATGCATTTTCGTGGAATTTGATAATAATCTGAAATTAAAACGAAAAAGAAAAATAACTTCATGAGAGAAAAAAAAACAGTTTAGAAACAGTATCTTAAAGAAATAAAAGATAACATTGCTTACTGAGCAGCAGACTTCCAGTCTGATGGATTTGGTTGCCTTGGATTTGGACCAGAACTTTGTCCTTGGTTCCGGGGACTGGTTGTAAGACGGTGCTGGCCTGGACTCTGTGCTGCAAAGCGGTGGCAACGGCAGCAGGATCCAAACCATACACTTCCAAATTCTTTATCAGAGTCACCTACAGGGAGGAAACAAGTGCAGTTAAAGAAATACAGTAATCAGCGTGACTCAACAGGTCTGATCTGAACCGTGAGGTCAGGAGAAGAAATCCCCCAAATAAATCTGAAATCATGTGAATCACCTTTACAGCATTCATTCAAATGAGACTCAGACAATTCTGTATTTATCAGCCTATATGTTCAACTAAGCAGAAATGTCTGCCAGATTAAAGGTTTCTGTCTTGCATATTTTAATTCTTTCACTCATAACAAAATTTAAAACTTTTGCACAAAACTGTGTGAATGAGTAGTTTGTGTCCAATAATATGTTGTAAAATGAACTCAGTCTCATGTTTTTATAGCTTTAAATGGGTTCTCAAGTTAGATAAAAGTGTTTCTAATTTAAAAAAAAAGTTTCCTGTCCAGTATTCCAGGAACCGAGACATAAATAATAACTAAATGTGACGTAAGGACAGGAAACTGATGGGTTCATGTAGGTTACTTCAGGGAATCTTGACAGGTGCCAACATTTCTGCACCAAATTTAAAACTTATCAATCTTATAGCTCAAAGTATTGTTGGAACTCATCCTTTCAAAACCTAAAAATAGACATAAAGTTTCCATATTTTGTGTCTCACTGCATCAGCTCAGTCTGGACACACTTGAAAACTTTAAAATTTTGAGCTAGTTAAAAAAGCAAATATCAACATGAACCTACAGCTCTTAACTTGTAAAATTATTGTAAAAGCCTTCACCTTCTTATTAGAGCCTCGAGAAGCCACAGAGACGTCTATTGGCTCGATGTGGCCCTTTTTTATTATAGGTGCTTGTCCAGGAAAGATAAGCTGATAACATTCCTGCATTCTTCCCAAAGTTCTGTGGAGAATAAGATGGTGATATATCAAAATAATACTGTGTATCAAATGCAATGTCGTCGTAAATCATAATCACTAAAAAATGGAATTTAGATTTCTTTCAGATTTTTTTAAATCTAAATCTTTATTTTAACCCGTGCAATACAAAAGTATGATGTTAAACATCAAACACTGTAATAAGTAAAAGCTATGTAATTAGTCAAAAGCTAATTTGACTCCAGAGTTTAAAACTAAAATTATTTTATAATGAGAAAAGAAGGCGTTGCAGCCATTTTGATCAAACCATAAAAATAACTTTATGTGCAATCTTGTGATTTTGTGAGATCTTGACTGATGTGTTAGCTTTTTATTTTTTAATTTTTCAAGCCAACTGTTTCATCTGAGACATAAAAGCATCAGCTCCTGTCCTGCTGGCTTTTAAAAACACTTTTCTGCCTCTAGATTAGGGCCGATGACACATACATAAATAAAATAAAAAAGAACCGACTTTCATCAGGCAAGCATTTGCCTCTAGTCGTTGAAACGCTATAAATTTCCACAGCGAGTTCTGACTGTGTGTGTGTGAGTTATAGATTTGCCTCTAAAACCATCAGACACCTCACATCTGATTGTAAAACCCACTGAGGCAGATTTGGTGCAGCTCAGAGACAAAACTATGATTCTTTAACTCCTGTGATGCTCACGCCTCACAGTTTCACAAAAGATCAATATAGAGGTAATAATAATGCAGAAACAAACCTGAAGAAAAAGACCATTTCATACTTCTCTGCATGCACTGTGACTGTGTTTTCTCTGTTTATCTGATGTTTTTTGCTAATTCTGGCAGAAAAAACCTTGGATGAGGTCAAATGTTGGTGTGTCAGTAAAGCACGGTAATACAAAGTGCAGTTTTAGGTTTTCATTGCAAAAATATCATTTTGTAACTTGTGACAATATTATTTTTAACACGTGTTTGACTTACATAATTTTATGCATTTACCTATAAAATATAATTACTGCTTTCATTGTTGTTTAGTCTTTCAGTTCATTCTGAATCGAATTCTTCTTATCTGATCTTACCCTCACAGATGAACTGAGCAAGACACGAGATATTCACAACAGTGGATTATTTTAGCTCCTACAGGTTCTCACTACCTAATTTACTAAATGATCCAGGAGTTAGTTTGGACTTTTGCTCATGTAGTTAATACCTACATAACAATTTATACTCTCAACAAAACCACTTCTAAAACAAGCTCAAAAAACAGATTAATGGCTTAAAGATTATTATGAAACATCTCGTCTAGGATGTAAATAAAAGTTTAACACCCACCAGTTTAAAGCAAATACATCAATTCTAACAGCATTTCCATAGAAACCTCAGTGTTTGTATTAAATGACGTGTGACCCCGCCGCGTTGTGTATTTGTATAAATCATCTTTTGTCAGTTATGCACCTAAGGTTAACATAATGCTTTCGTAAACATAAATTATTCTTATATGTATTTTTTTGGGTATTTTCCCAATTTAGTCTGTCAAATAATCAAACAATCTATAACTTCTCCTTTACCTGCTAAAAAGGTCATCCCATTTGAGAGCCTCCACCTCCTGATATTCGGATTTCTCCAGCAGGCAGTCGCACAGGGTGGGATTTATGATCACAAAACTGGTTCAAAGTAAAAAAATTAAAAATAAAAACACTTGGTTAGATAACTTTCATTGCCTTCTTTTGCAATTTCAACTCCTTCATAAATCTAATCAAAAGACTGGCATCCCTAAAATCAGTTTCTTTCTTCACCAGAACACACACATACACTCATGAAATCAAAAGAAACATTAGCTCTTTTGTGTCAGAGTCACATTTAAACCTTTTAGATGACTGTAATCACATTACACGGCGTGTTGTCAGTCATTCTTGTTTAACAGCAGCTGTTCTATTCCTGGCCTCAGTTCGGAGCAACGAAGCACGACGACGTTGGTTTATTCGATTACTTCACAGGCTGTTCCTCAGACCTGTCACACTTTTAGACAACTTGTGCTCGACGAAAGAAAATTTTGTCCTGCATGCTGAAATAGGATGAATGTCGCGCCAATTTGACGCCAGATGATTGTTGTGCATAAGTTTCATACGCTTGAATAAGTTATCTTAAAGACGAGTTATGGATAAGTTACTCATAGGTCGACATAAGTTGTCTAAAATGTTTTAGTGCGACAGGGCCTTCAGATGACAGGTCGAGAAAGTCTCGTGGTAAAACATTTTATTGTATAAAACTCTCTTAAAAAAACTATTTCAACAAGCAGTGGTGGGCAGCGCTAATCCAAAAATTAGCTCCGCAATTCCCAAAGCGCTTATAATAATATAATAATATTCAGGTCCGCTACTTCAAAAATGGTTATGCCGTAGAAAAACTAGCGGAAGCTAATTTTAAAGCACAAGTTCAATTTGACACTTACTAGCTGACAATTCACATTCAATATATGCACAACACTGCCAACTAGCGATGTATGAACTCTTTTACAACTTAATTCTACAACCGCGATTGCTGGGGATGTGATTTCCTGAAACAGAMCTTTAGCTCCTGGTGTAAAAATTAAAAMGCTGTTGAGGATTGCTAGTTCGGCTGCTTCTTTGTCTTTTTTCTTTTGTTTGTTGTAGATTTTTCATTAAAGAAGCATCAATAAAGTAATTTTAAAACTGTTTATTGGAAAACTGAAGCGATGCATTCTGGGTACATGATGGACTGATGAGAAACGAAAGCACGAGGAACAGGAAACTAGTATCTTCCCTTCAAAATAAGAGCTTGGATTTTAAAATTTTCATGTTTCCATTGGATTTTAAAGTGTTCCAGTTCACCTGAAACTCATCAGACTGAAGAAGTCTCTTGGAGGAGAGATGAAACGTTTCACTAAAGAAGAACCCATCCAGAGGACCTACTTATTTTTTCTTCTTGATTTTTTCTACCTGGATTAGGACATTTTCCATGTAGTTGCTCCAGTTGACCACTAGAAGTCAGTCTTAACCAGCATTACATTTTTAAATCCTTTCTGAGTCTCTAACACCGTTGGCCGATTGGTTTGAGCCCCAGTGTTTAAACTTTATTGATTTATTTATTTTAAAAAAGGAGCTCTGATTGTAAAGTAAAATAAATCAATACATACAAAATTTTAGTATGGATTACAAACATTTACTGTTTTTGCTGTTGCCTTCTTGTTACGTAAGCAGACACAAAGCATTGTGGGAAATCAGAACCATGGCTCAAAGCGACAGTCAGTAAGGATGTATATCTTCTCAATAAGTGTGTTTATCTGGGAAGGGTGCTGTTGGACAGATCACGTGTGTTGTGATTCATTGACAACCTTAACTTCCACTGTTCAAGATAATGATGACTGGTAGATAATTAGTTATTAGCGGTACTGCATTTTAATTTTAGAAAGCACAAATCTGCTTATGAATGATAAAAATTAGTAAGACCGCTAAAGTGCAAATGAAATATTTAGGTCCACAATTAGCGGATTTGCGCTTTAGCGGAATTGTGCCCACCACTGCTAACAGGCAATAAAAACTGTGGTTTGTTGTTTTCTGCAGTTTTGAAATGATGCACCTGATTAGAACCAATCTGATTAAAACTTAATGATCCACTCACTTCTTGTTATTTTCATCCACCAGCTCATTCTTCTTCACGTACTCTGTAATTATACTTCTTACTTCAGCAGCATTCATTGTTGATCCTTTCCTAAAAAAAAAAAAAAGCATCAGCACTCAAATAAAAAATATAACTCTTTGAGGATATATAAAACTTCAGTAAATTTAGACAGAGAATAAACATCATTTGATTAGTACTATCATATTAATCATGTTTTGCTGATTTACAGGGACATTTTCCAACCATAATGAAGTCATTTAAGGATTCTTTGTGGTTTTATAAGGCTTGGTGCTTCCTGGAAAAGGAGACGTTACAAAGAGTATTGTGTAATACGAAATCAAACGCCAAACAAATGAGTGTTTTCAGAGATGAACATTTATCTTTTGAAAATTGACTCATCTCTTCACAGAGGTTGAGAAGTTAAGGGTCAGTTTAAACAAACTCTAAAGACGTTCCTGCTGAGGCGCTGGCATATCCATCACCTCTTAAACAAACACAAGCGCCGCCTCACGCTGCTAGGGCAACCTGCTGCGTGTGCAAACACGTGGCTACATGAAGACACACACACACACACACACACACACACACACACAC